TGATCACCATACAGCTTGGTGTATTTAAGGTAAACAGCACTTAGAAACTTCATAAACAAATACATCGAAGAGGAAAAGCGATCTCACCAAAGCTACAGCAGGTCTATATTCGCATATCTATTCATATGCATTCATCTCCTCACAACTGAGGCTGAAGTGTGCAGGGGGCTAAGCGTGCCACATATGTAGAGACGGAGGTCATCAACTGATTTCAGGCCCCTCTGCTTGTCTGCACATTATGCGCTTTCACAATGCTCAATGCAATTAGGAGACATAAGGAGGGGGACCCTAAACACATCAAACACCGCAGGACCCCTGGTGCTGGAGAGCAGGTGACCATACACACAGATGGCCCCTCCCCCACCTCTGATGTAATTATCTGCCCTCATAACACCTTTTTGTCTTTATATATACACATATATATGTAAAAAGAAGCAATAGTTTGTAATGATGCTAACGTATTCCAATTATCAAAAGAAAAACGTAAATGGATCGGATCCAATTCTTAAAGTGGAAAAAATAAACCCAAGTTCCCTAAACTTCCAACGAACAATAAACATTTAAAATAAAAAATAAAATAAAATGATGGCATTTAAAAGATTAAATACATATTTTATTTTAGCAAAATGTAGAAGATAGAGGGAATCCAATTTAGTCATGTAAATAGAGGTCGGGTTGGCGACATGGTGAAGCGTCACTAATGGAAAAAAAGAGACAAATGATTTATGATAATGAGGAGAAAATAAAGCAGAACCATGACCTTGCAATGCGAAATGAACCTTAACCGTATAATATCTGGATGACAAAAGGATGTTATAAGCCAAAAATGTTCTCTTGTTTTTTGTTTTTTCTTACCACCTTTATAATATATATTTATATATACCTTCAATCAGGGCTGCAAGATAAATCTTATCATTTTGAAACAGATGTAGATTACAGCTTCATCTCTACACCTAAAGACTATCATAAACTCTCACATCATCCCTGTTAGTTTGCTGCTTCATCTCCAGCTTGCTTTTAGCGTGATGCACTCTGTGGGATGTTCCAGAGCTGACCCTCCTCCTCCTCTTCCAGCTCCAGCAACACTTTCCCTTTCTTCCCTGCCGTCCTCTCCGTATGGGGCATCTACATGCAACCCTGCTTTATGGCTGCTCATTTGCATCCCAGGAGGGGCTGAAAGGCGTCCCCAGGGACACGCAGATAAGGGTCACAGGAGAACCCCTTGAGGGCGGCACGCTTGCCACGCACACCCTCCCCCTACAACACACAGACGACACGTGCCGTGGAGCTCCCTTCCAGATGAACTCAACGTTTGCCAGCAGTGGCTCCTTTATCCGGCTGTTGTCACTTAGTGAGATATCCCATTTACCAAAAAATAAAAACTTCCCTCTATGAGGCTAAATCTGTTTTCTGTAGGCTATCCCTCCCTCTGTCCATTATCATTTAATTCAAATTGTGGTTAAAATATCCTGCTAAAAATGGGAAACTCCTGAATCATAATAATGAACTGTGAAAAGGTGCTTACTCCATTATGAGTTTCCTTGTGCTTTTACTTTTTGTGGCAACTTGAATTTTTAGATCACTGAAAAAAAAGGAGAGAAATCAAACAAATAAACCTGAGTAAAGACATATTTAAGTTTAATAAAATAATGGTCTCTCCTTATAAACCCAGGGATTAGCTGTATAAAGCCACATTTTTTGGGTTAATCTCACTAGCCATATTAGGTTTGACTTCTTGACTCGTAGATAACAGAAATAAACACATAAAAACACATAAAATAATACACTTTATCCTCAGTCAAAATAAAATGAAGAGCAGCAAAGACATTTGTATCATCAGTCTGATAAAGGGTAACAACAACAAAGCCATTTCTAAGGCTCCACATAACATTTAAAAACATAAAGAAAATATAAAAAAACATAGAAAATTGTAGAGCCTTCTAAGGAGTGGCCGCTCTACCATGAATACTCTTGTTAAAAATTCATCTAGGAGGTTACAAAAGAACCTAAGGGGTACTAACCGTTGACATAAAGGTCAAAGTTCAAAGTTAAATTCAAAGAAAGAGACGCTGGGCAAATAGGCCTCAATCACTACTGATCCAAAAGAACAAAAAGGCCCTTTTCACATTTGCCAAAAATCATCTTGATGATCATCAAGACTTCTGGAAATTATTCTGTGGACCAATGATGCAAAAGTGGCGAATATCCCACCACATATTAAAAAAGAATATAATTCTGAGTCACACAAACCGGTGGCAGTGTCATGGTCGGGGAGTAGCTTTGCTGCTTTATGACCGGGGTGTATCTCAGCAATTCTTTGAGCCATAAACGATGCTATCAGGTTGTGAGTTTAAGTTCAAAAAAGACAAAGAAGGCACTGATCAACTGTGACAAAAGGAACAGCAACAAAAAAACCCAAAGGTGTTGACTTAATCAAAATCCCCAATCACTTCCAGCTGGGATGCTGTGCCTTTAACCTAACTTAAATCCCTGCTAAGGGCCTCTTCTTAATCAGGGTCTCCCTACTGTGTTAAGATGGAGCAGACTGTGTCAGCATGAATGTAGCCGTGGTAAAAATGGCAGGCTTTAAAAAAAAAAAAAAACCTTACAGAAACAGGAATCCTTTACAAGTCAACTGCATTAAAAAAAGGGAAAAATAAAGAATAAAAGAGCGCACCCTTAAAGTATACAGAAAAAACCGTTTGATTTAAATCGGCATATGCTTTTGTTTGGTAGGAGGCTGTCTGCATTCACCCTCCAGATCCTGTTAGAGACGCCGTCTTTGGGCACAAAATTCTTTTTTCACATTTATGGAAGATTTTTGCTCTACTTTGGCTAGCTAGGCCATCTTCAAATGGTATTTTCTTTGACGAAAATCATTCGTTTTGGTCTGATGCTTGCTTTGACTATGAAAAAAAAAAACTCTGCTTTTATGCAGAGAAGCATAAAAGCAGAACTAAAATTGATTTTAATAATAGGGAGCCACACAGGCAAAAAGCCAGTTGCAAATCGGGGCCCACAGCTTGCAGACCCCTGATCTAGCAGATGAAAACTGAGTTTAAGATAAAATACCAACACCTTAAGAAACTGGTGCAGTATTTTGTCTCTAGTATAGGGGCCATAACCTCTGTTGGGAAGACAATATAATTGTTCTTAAAAGTTTAATCACGGTTATCTATATGAAATGTAAACAGTCATGCATGCAACATGAAATATATATTCTGGGGATAATACATTTACTCAATAATAAAATGAAATCTAAAAATATTGAGGACCTGAAGTTTAAAAATGTTCAAATTATCAAAAAAACATGAATACATTTGGTCAAAATCAAATCTAAGACAGATCCTAACTTGAAACATGCTTCACTCTTTCTGCACAGACCCAAAATAGCAAGTCTATGCTTTCAATATTTTTTTTTTATATTTTAAGCACGTGAGTTTACTGAACAGGTCATCATCTTGCTTCCTGTGCCGTTTCCGTAATAAACTTCCTTTTAGTTCCTAATGAATTAAGGAGAGTTAATATTTCCCCATGAAACGCTTTCTTCTGCATTTAACGTCCAATTATCAGAATAAATGGTTTATATACAGCGATTTTAGCAGCTCTGGTCAATAAAACTGACCTACATCAGTCCAGTTTTTGTTTTCAAAGTAAAATATAAATATGTAGCCTTTTAGATCAAAATACACGTTTAACTTAATTGTAGTGCTGCAAATTAGCATAAATTTCAAAACTCACTACAGGTCTCATCTTTCAGATCACCTCTATATAAAGAAAAAATAAAGCCATTTTCACTATTTTGACCAGTTGACTTAATAAAATTTGCCCAAAAGCATCTTAAACAGTGCTTACCTCTTCACGAAAAGGGTCCAAGTTCAGGAAAATTTCACTGAAACCTGATTAAGGCTTTGCAGCAGTAAACGGTGCTGTGGCGCCACCTTGTGGCTGCTGCGATTACAACCATAATTACCAAGTCAGAAAATGGCGGAATTTGAAAACAAGTGTTGGTTGCAATGATAGAACCCGGATTATGCATTTAAACAATTGATTTTCTACCAGTAATTACTCATTTAAATCTTTTAGATCAAGTTGTCTCCAAATTACATGCTGGTAAACGACATCTTACATTGAACACCATTAGATTAGAAAAAAAAAGCAAGTTGACTAGTAAATCAAATCAAGCAATTTTCACATATTTAATGAGTAGGAAGTAAGAGTATGCAAGAACCATTTCACTAGGGCACAGACAAGATATGCCAAAATGGTCAGAGTAACAAAACTATCCAACTAGAGATGGCCAATGGTAAGAAAAACCCATGACTTTTTCCTTTTTAAGAGCATCTTTATTATGCCACAAATAAAAGCCAGTAGTTCTCAAAGTTTCCTTTATTCCCCTAACCGACAATGACATTAAGCATTGCTGCAACCGGTGCTTTACTCTGAATTTCTGGCTGAGAAGAAATAAGGATTTGGGGGGAAGCATGGAGGACAAGGTGGTAAGAAAAAGAGCAGTAAGAAAGGCATAGCAGGGTTAAAGCACAGCCTCCAATAAGTGCAGGCTGGTTATAACTGAGCAGAAAACACAAAAAAAAACAAACACCATGTAAAAACAAGCTGAATAAAGAAGCCACTTTCAAGTTGAACATAAGGAATGCACACAACTCTGCTGAATATACCACATTTATTACTTTTGAACTGATTAATAGAAAGAGTGGGGGCAAGGCCACTCGCATCAGTCATAAGAAAACAGAAAAAAAAAAGAAAAGCAGCCCATAGCAACAATGACTTAACTTATTCAAGAAAAAAAGGCGTAAATAAAGTCCAATGAAGATGGCCTCATTTCCCCCCCACGTAAAATTATATGGTGAGCAAAGCTCATCAACTTAATATTTTGACCAATTTAAACATTTAACCAATTCCTAACTGGTCCTGTCACCATCCTCTTGACCCCTCCTCCCCGCACTCCAACATATGAAAACGGATGTTTTTTTTTTTCCTTTTTTTTTTAACAAGCAACCTGCAGTCCTCGTTAACAAAAACATGACAAGCAAGGACAAACAGAAATTCTGAGGTGAGAATAGTTGGCACCAGCCATCGGTGAAGAATCCACTGAGGAGGAAGCTGCTCTTGCCTTCTGGTTTGACGCTCAGAGCCGGGTTTGCAGAAAGGCTGTTAAAGATGTCCATCTTTACTTTGGGACACTACATTTTTCTATTGGATCTCTGATCTTTAAGGTTTCTGTGAGAATTACACTCCATCTTGGACCATAAAAACAGATGCAGATCTTTTCCTTTCATTAAAAAAAAGAAAGAAAAGAGAAAGGAAAAAGCAGCATACAAGGAAAAAGCATATGTAGTGGAATGGGGTAGGGCAGAAAAAAAAAAATCAGCTAAGGACGTTATGCATTTAGTTGTAGTCCTATGAATAATCGTTTCCTTTTTACTACAAGTTCGAAGTAAGTCTTTAAAGTCAAAAGAAATCAAAGTCTTCATTTAGTTTTTTTTTTCCTTTTGTCCTTTGTTAAATCTTCACCCCTGTTAGAATTTCTTAGAGATCTGAATGTAATAATGTGTCGGGGTGGACAGGGTTTCAGGAGGGACATTTCAGTCTTTTGACCAAAGCACCAACTGTTACTTGACTCGTCCTTGGCGTTCCTAGGAAAAGAGAAAAAAAAAATATTAGAAATTATGATAATCACAAAGCAAAGACCAACTTAAGATTTCCCCTCTATTTTTTGTTTCCGTTTTCAACAAAGCACCAACGCCTGTGTTACAGAAAGGGATGTAAACAGGATCCTGTGTTCTCCACAGAGGATATCTCTGTATTAAATAACTGACATTATCAATACAGTAAAAAGCAAACACATTTTTATTAAAAAGTCAATGTACCAGAGTATAAATAAACAGCAGATGTGCATCGAATTACTCTAGAGAAGAAGCAAAGTTACCTGAAGCCTGTAATGACTCCTGTTGCTTGGGTTGCTGGGATATGGCTCGCTGCCTTGGACCTCCACCTGTCAAACAGCAGAGGAAAAATGAGCAGAAAATAAAAATGAGGCAGCGTTTCTCATTACTGGAGGAGTGTTTTATTCATCTAGATTAAAAACAGACAGCAAGATACTATAAAAACAAAGTTATGTTCCAAAGATAGAGAGAAAAATTACTGTAGGTTTTTAAAATATGTTAATGTTTCCATTGTTTGCTAGAAACATGATGTTACAGTTGGTGTAGAGTTTTAAGGTGAGGAAGAATGATTTAAAAAATGCACAACTGAACCTCGTAAAACCAAATTTAATTAGGACCGTGGAAGTATGTCTTCCATAAACATACATTAAATTTAACTTTAAATCTGTCCTGTTAGCAAACAAGCGTAAGATAAGGAATGGAATCAGCTTCTATCAGATCCCCCAACCTGTAAAAAATGTTTAATTCTGCATCATTTCATCCTCATATCCTCTACACTGACCCTCCACCATGTAAAGATAAAGTCTGACAACAAAAGATTCCCATAAACACACTACAGATGAAAAGATGTTTTATGCTCTAATCCGATTCACAATAAGACTAGAAGTTATAAAGTAACCTTCCGGAAAATAAAGCCGTCTGAAAATAGTACTACGTACATCAACAGTTTCTTCTGACGGCTGCATCACCACCTGTGACCTTTAGCATTTCAGGTTATGTCATCTTTTCCTGGTGTTTGCTTTTATCTGCAGCACTGATCCTCTGTCTACACATTATATTAACCTTTAAATTGCAAGTTCATGATAAACGTATAAACTGGCCAGTAATCATTTAACCTTAAATGGTCCTCGACATAGAATATGAACATTGCTGACTAATATTGCAATCATTGCTTATTGTTCCGCCCGAGTACATGCACACAGAATAAAAATCAGCGTGGCAGTTAAACTGAAAAATTATCCACATGAATGCAATATTCACATATTTAGGGTATTCCCAGTTTATAACTTCATTCCTATTTGTTTAGGAGATGCACAACACTTTTCTTTATTATTAAGTTTGTTCTTGCATATTGATGGGAAGTATATTTAAAGGATAAATTCGTACCAAAACTCACTCTGCATACAAATAGGACGTGACCTGTTGGATACACAATAGTAGGAACATTTGACACAGATTTCAGGACTAAGGATACCAAAGGTCAGAAAGTTGGAAGCATGAGAAGGAAGAAAACTGTGGGTGCATCCAAAATTATATTATAACATCAATATTGCCAGGATTTTCTATTGTTATGCAGCTTACATCTGTTGCTCTGTGACAAGGAAAAAAGGCACAGGCAAATCATTGCAAAAAATAAAGATCAACAGCCAACCTGAGAAAAAAAATAAAACTAGCACAACTTATTAAAATGTTATGCGGCAGAATTTGACAGAAAAATCCAGAATTTAAAACACTCCATTCACCACAGGTTTTTTTTCATTGTGTGGACAAGGATTTAAAGACAAGTTTCAATCAGCTTAGGAATGCTGCATTACCTTTTTCACACACTCCTCCTCCTCTTGACGCTTCTCGTAGTGAGAAAAGTCATCGAAGATGGAAGTGGTGTGTTTGTATCCAGCGATGATCTTTAGCACTTGCCTAGCCTTGTCCAGCGGTACCTCCTGTGTGTCCCGAGAGTTGGTCACCGGCTTATTTTCGTTGTTCTCTAGCCGAATGTGCCTCAGCTGACTGTTGGGAACGTCTTTAACAAAGATCCAGCGCACATCAAAGCGACCCTTCCACTTGTCCTGTGACCACACGCCAGCAGATGTGTTGTAGTCCACCGGTGAGCGCATCTCGGCGACACCACAGAAGTGACCGCTCCCGTTCACGCTGAACAGGAGATAAAGGGGCCCTTTGCTCGCCAACGAACGGTAAGCGCCGTCGAGCCTCTTGTTGCCATGCTCCGTGCTGCACCAAATGTTGTACTTGATGGAGCGGTGGATGTCGTCCTCAGAGTAACTCTTGATGATGAACACGCGGCCCTGCTTGAGGTTCCAGTCAAAGTCCTTGGGGTTATAATTATTAACCATGCGTAACTTCTCCAAAACGGGGTGAGGCTCAGAGGGGACCCCAGGAACCACTCCGACAGTTGAAGAGGGAGGTGACTGGCCTGTCCCATTTCCACTAGCGTCTCCAAATCCATTGGCCCGGTTTCGTGGAGGGACCCAGCGAGTAGGCTGAGAAGGCTGCTGCTGTTGGCTAGGTGGGGGACCCTGGGAAAGAGGCTGGGGTATCTGAGCCATACCTGGCTGTCCAGTAAGAGGAAGATGATGCTGCCCCAGCTGGGAAACAGGTGGAACCAGCTGTCCATTGCTCAGAGGCATCTGTGGGTTCCCCGCAGCTGTAGCTCCAGGCTGCGGAGAAGCCTGATTAGGCGGCTGCCCGTTGCTGGGAATAGGGGGCACCTGCTGAGGGGTGGCAGCTTTGGGCATGGTGCCCTTGTTGTCCCAAGTACCAATGTCCATGTTGTGTTTAATGGGCGGAGGAGGCAAATTAGCACCTGCCATGCCGCCCTTGGTTTTAAGCTTGGGTTGAGGCTTGGCAGGTTTGCTGGCAATATCAGCCCAGGAGGCTGGCTTGGCTGGAGCGATTGAGACAGGAGGCATGCTGGGAGGTCCGACAGAAGACACGGGCCCCAAGGGGCCCCCACCAGGTAACCCAGAGCCAACCACCTTTGGAGCAATTTCTCCATTCCCACCAGGAGCAGCCCCACCAATTTTAAGGCCTGCCATGCCCTGGTCCAGGCTGTTCATACCTGGGGCCTTGTTGAGGGGTTCGTTGGCAGCAGGTGCAAATGGAGACTGTCCATCAATCATGGCACCCCCAAGTGAGCTGGGAGCATAGGCATAGCTGCTGCTGTAGCCAGAGCTCTGCGGCGTCCCCGACTGTCCCTGAGAGCTGCTATTGCCCCATGCTGAGAAGTCGATGCCACTCGGGAAAAAGTTGAAGCCGTGCTGGCCCAGGAACGGGTTGCTCCCCAGGGGACCTGGCTGGCCAAACATCGCGTCTGGGAGGTAGTGGGGTTCACCATTGCTCAGCTGTCCATAGGAGGCCAGGTAAGGCATAGGAGGGTCCCCACCAGTGGACCAAGCTGCTTCATTTAGGGAGTAGGAAAAGCCAATGGAAGGGCTGTAGTAGCTGGGCATGTACGAGTCCGACATGGCCGTATAGGCATTGCTCTACAACAGAAAAAAAATACAGTTTATATACGGAAAAAAAGATATATACTTCAAATGAATTGTGGGCCATTTGAAATACCCTTTAAGTTCACTGTGAAGTTATTGCAGGCATTTTAAAACCTATTGAACTTTAAATTATAAAATGTCAATTAAAATGAAGGATTGGCACAACTTTTACACCAGTGCGTCCCCCAAATATCTGCTTAAAACCAGTAAAAACGAATGGCTCATAATACCTTCACCTTAAAAGTGGCTTAAAAAAAGAAAAGAAAAGTGAACCTTGAGCTCCAGGCCTATGTTATTCAAGGCAATAGAACACAATAGGAAGTCAAAACCTTAGGTAGCCAAGATAAAAAAAAAAAGGTTATTTTTGCCATTTTATGCAAGTCAATCTAAAATGGACATTTAGATTCAGTTTCTGAACTCCACTCCCATCATAAGCAAAGAGGTAAGTGTTTATGATCCAACAAAGCCAGAGAAAATGAAGACCCACTCAACACCTTTCCTCAAACGCTCACCTGTCTGGCCTGAGTATTCAGGTAAGGCTCAAACTCATCGTCATTCAAAGTATCCTTTTGGGTCACAGCTCCGTTTTGCACTGAAAAGAAAGTAAACAGGTTTTGTGACAGATGCAAAAATTCTCATTTCTACATTTACAACATACTATAAAATTAAAGATATTAGAGGATAAGGGAGCTAGCATTGAACATTTAACAGAACACAAATGTTTTTATTTTAAGAGACAGACGAAAGAAACTGAAGAAATCAGCAAGAAGAATTATACTTGAAAGCGTAAAATAACGAAACATGAAGAATTAAACTGCCAGCTGAGCAGAATTTAGATCCTACATTATCCAGCTACGAGGCCATCAGTGAATCTGGGATTCATTGTTAGAGGAGATACATTTGAAGCTGTATTGTCAAATGAATCATCCTATAAAAACTGTAACTTATTTGCCATCACAGGCTGAGTTTTCAGGATCTTTAATGAAAATGTAAAAAAAACTGATTAACAATTAAGTTATTTGTAACCAAATTACTTAATTCCATATATATAAAATCAAGGGGAAAAAAAACGTTTATAAAACGATCTGGTTCAGTGGTTTGTGGGCGGGCTGATTTAAAAAAAAAAAAAACCTCAGTCTGTTTTCATGTATTAATAGATTAACTGATCTGATAATCAGCAAACGGATGTATAACCTGTGTGAAAAAAAAAATAATTTTCATGCTGATGCCAGTTTCAGGAAAAGTTAAATTTATGAACAAGTGTTGGAAATTGTGATGGCAATATCTATTTTTCTGCTCTTAAAATTAGCATCTCAGCCACTAAACATAGATAATGGGTAAAAAGATAAAAGGAGGGGAAAATCCATTTCACTGGTTTAGCATTACTTCTCTATGAAGAGCAAATCAAAGGCACTTTAAAATTTGTATTGTGTCCAACCAAATCTTGCGTCCAGGCAACCCTTTAAAAGTGTGATCACGACTGCTTTAATGTACATCTAATATCTCAAGTGCTCTAATTAGTAGAAGCACAACACTGTTCCCTACAATAGGATATAATATAACTTGCTCTCATCCTGTCCTTTTTAAAATGCATGGCTTTGTTTTGCTTCATAGATATCATTTTCCATTAATCTGTTTTCAACTACAAAAAGTAAAGTGATGAAGGCCAATCTTTTTTACTCTAACTCCCAATGCCGCAACAATTGTCAATAAATAAATGTTTTCTCTTACAAATCAATATACATTTTATACTCCTTTTAAGGGTAGAACACGCTAGAGCTGCAACTATTATCTTGCTAACCGATTACTCTGAATAATATTTTTTTTAAGTAATGTCAAAAGATTTCTTAAAGACGACTTTTTACAGAATTAAACCAGTTGAAACTAAAAACTTTCACTTTAAGTTATCTTGCTTGAGCATATTAACAGGCAAACAAGATTTTTTTTTATTTTTTACCTTAAATGCAACATTATTACAATTAATACGGTTGTTTCCGCCCTACAAACACAAAATTAAGTTTCTCGTTCATATATATTGAGCCAATTTTGTCTTTAGAAAATTGTTCTTTCAACAAGAACGATTCCAGTTTGTCCAAGGGTCCTCAGAAATGCCTAAAACTTGTTGCGTGACATTGTAAACCAAGACAAGATACAATTTAAAAATCATTAGTAGCCAGAGGTGTCAAGTAACGAAGTACAAATACTTTGTTACTGTACTTAAGTACACTTTTTAGGCATCTATACTCCATTACTTATTTTCCTCCCTACTATCTGACTTCTACTCATTACATTTTCACACAAGTATCTGTACTTTCTATTCCTTACATTTTTAAAACAAACGTTACTCGTTGCTTCGGTTTAATGTTTATATTTATTTCACGCCATGTGTGCCATCCAATGCAGATCATTGGCGCAATCCAGATCTAGTGAAAACTGGTGTAATTGGTCATATAATGCAAACTCTCATTGGTTAGCTATTCATCAAATCTGTGCTGACGCCAAAGGAAATCATCAGAAGCAAGCAGGTGTTCTTCAAAAATGTAACTGAATTGTCTATGCCATGCTACAACGTTGGATTCAGAAAAAGATGTTGAAATGTGTGAAAGGTCGGACACAGTCGAGATCGGGAGATGGAGACCAACAAGACCTCCCTCATCCTTGGCCCTATCTCAAAGAATTTTTCGAAATAGTCGAAAAACTCCGCTTTCAATTCATATAGTGGCGTCTGGCTGTTTTTTTTTATTTTTTTTTTTTAAGGTTACTTTATACTTTATATACTTTAAGTAGTTTTTGAAGCACATACTTTTTCACTTTTACTTGAGTAAAAAGGTCAAGTTGATACTTCAACTTTTACCAGAGTGTTTTTAAACTGCAGTATCTATACTTCTACTTAACAAATGTGTGTACTTTTGACACCATTATTGGCTTTAAATAAGAAAATGTTGCGTTTTTAACACTGAAATAATTACCCCCAACTCCAAAAGGCTGCCCCACGCATCTAAAACAGCTTTTTAATCCCATTAATATAAGTTTTAAACTACTTTAAATTAAACCATGTGTTCAAATATTAATTTCTTCAATGTTGGCAACACACCTGCTGCTAGTTTAGGAAAAGAAATTATCGGAAACGGGGATATACATTATGTAGTGTTAGAAATATAGATAACAGCTATATATTAAATTAGGAAAAAACGTATTTATATAAAATGTAGTATTCCAGTGTTAGCGGTAAGGAGGCGGTAAAGCATGTGTAGGGACGTGTCGTTCTGGGTTAACATAGCAACATGCTAACATTAGCATGCTATCAAGCTAGTCCTTTCAAGTTGACGGGCTCGGCTAACACTAGCCTTGAATAAAGGCACCTGCTGGTTAACACAGACAGATTTCATTAAATTTGTGTTGGACACTGAGACTGGACAATAAAGGCCGCATTTATTGTGCTGTCTGGAGACAATAGCGTCCTAGTCTAACCAGGAAAATGCTACCAACGTGAACCATTTAACATTTGCGAGTCAACACTACCTGTGGCGATCCCCCGGTTGTAACTTGAGGCTCTAAATTATGATTAAAACCCGTGAAAATTACATTTCAGAGTTGGTTTTAAGTTAAAATGTTTAAAATAAGAGTTAGAAAGATTATAAAAATCTCACTTTTGGGATACAGACGGCCCTTTATGCCTATCAAGCTAACATCACTCGCGGACGTAGGATTTTCAGAGCTCACGGCACGAACAGTGCTGTGTATCCACAACCTCAGGCTTTGAGTAGCTCTTACCTTTATTAGCTTGGCCTTTCGGTCTCTGGATTGGGTCCAGGTGATTCATGAAGGTTTGATTTATGAGAAGAGAGGAAGGGGAAAAATAGTTGAAGAGATGTATATTCAGCAGTCAGATTGTTTTGCAGGTGGTCAGGCCTACTGCACTACTGAGCCACAGCCGCTGCCTCGAAGCTAAGCTACCTGCGCTAGCCGTCGCGATGCTGACAAATTTGGCCCTCGCAAACGTTCAGAAAATACCTCTTTTTACCTGTTCAAGAAGGCTGCTGGCTGACATGTCTTTCCCCCCCACGGCCTGTGTAACTGTATTGTCTCCTAATTAACAGCGGCGGGGTGCACAATTTGTCCGGCTACGACGGAGTTTCAGCCAATCACTCTTATCTCTCTAGTGAGCTTGGATTCTACACAATGGCGGGCTGCAGTTTGCTTGACAGACTCCTCAACATGGCTGGGCGGCCCTCTTCAACTCAGAATTACATTTATTCACATCGAACAGACGCCCCCTACTGGCTGGGAGGAACAAGACACCGATCAACTAACCCTGGGCCTACCGGTTTTAGATCTTGATGGCACCATTTCTTATTTAGATATTTAACCAAGAAATATTAGATATTTACAAAGAAATGCGAAGCATTCATATTTTATGAACGTTTTTCAAAAAAATGTCATACCCTGGTTTTGTCCAAGGAATACACTGCATTAGGTTGGTGTATCCCACGAAACCTTATCAAACTGTCTAGAAATATAAAAGTCGTGTAACCAAATGTGGAAAAGTGCACAGTTTTTAAGCCTATCTTTAATTTCTGTTTTTATTAGCAATTGCTTTTAAAAATGTATTTTTATGGGATTTTTTTTTATTACCTAAAAATTGGATACAATTTATTTTCCATGTTTTTGAGTGAAATCCTATATACCAATTTGCACTATTTAGATAGCAAAAAAAAAAAATGATGTGGCTAATAAGTTGGGATGATATAAAGAAACAAAACAGACTCAGAAGCCTTGATTTTCTATGAGAATATTCATAAAGTATAACCTACTTACTGATAATAGTCTCACTTAAGATTGCATGATTATTACTGCTTGATTTACAGTACAACAGTTATATCAGCAGAATTATATACCAGAAAGTTTGAATGATTTTTAAACAGGGCTTCTGAGGGAGTCATCTAAGCAAACCTATCCAGTCCACATGTGTTTTAAGGATATGAAGAATGTATTCTGTGGTCGGGGAGCTGGGTGCCATAGAAATCTGGGATACTAGGATTACCATTGAGGCCTATCTGATTCTTGCATAAGAGCAACAGCTGTCTCTGCATGAAGTCAGGCTAGTTATCAGTGAGGGTTAGACCCCATTGGATCACTTCCTTGTATGCAATCCTGTTTATGGTGTTCATGGATAAATCCTTATCAGAACAGTGCTCTTAAAACATTAAGAGAGATCGCTTGGTATGTAATGGCATGCTTCTGCCACTAGATAGAGTGGCAGAGACATTTTACGGATTGAGAGAGCAATCAAGACTTGAATACATGGTTTACATTTCTTATTAATGGTTATTGAATATTGCTTTTCAGCTTGTTTTACTTTTTCCCCCCATAACTCATTAATAAAAATAATTCTTGTACATCTTCATAGGAAATGTGGGGTGAGCTGGGAGCGTGGGGGGGCAACGTAAAATCCTGGCTTTTTTGGCCAAGATGGGGAACCTGTTGCCTGTTCTTAATGAAAAGGTAAGTCAGACAGAAAATAAATGGGATACCTTGTATTTAGAGAAAATTATTCAAACCAAGGACTTGCTTGGGGGCAAACAAGGATCCTTTACAGACTTAACTCTTTAAAGTACCCAGACAGAGCACATCTATCTGTATAGCCCTAATAATTGTTTATTTACTAGAGGCAATTAATTCTCTTTTTTATATCTTAGACTTAGACAAACTGTATTGTCATTTTGCATACAGCTTGTGAAAGTGCAATGAGATCGCAACTAAAACAAAACATGACCATATAAAGTGCAGCAGTGATAAGAATGTAACAGCGCAAGGAGTAAAACAGCATCCAAAAAAGTGTGCTGAAAAATGAAAAAAGTTTGCAGAAAAATGACCAAAAAAAGAGTGTAGAATGATGTAGTTAGCATTGCAAAAACATATGGTGCAAGAAGGCCATAAAGTTTATTTCTGCACATGTATGATGCATAGCTCAGTTTAGAGTTTAACAGTTACATTTCTTTCATTAATGTTGTTTCTCTCTTTGCATTCTTTATTTTGGCTCCTTATCATCTGCAGTTATTATTTTTCCCTTAAATACAAGACATCAGGGTATACTGGTGACCCCTCTATCTATTGCAGATGGCCTGTGGCCAACCTCTGATCAAATGACTCAAGGACAGGAATAACCCATGCATGCACCCCCAAACACACGCATGTATAACTACACTTTTTTAAACAAGTAAACATTTTTTTTCCTCCATAATCTAAATTTACAGGCAAAAATCAACAGGTAGTTGCCAATAAGAGATCAAACACAAAGGTTGAAAATCTTAAAACAGTGATCAAAATCAGTGGAAGGAACAATAAGGGATACACAACTGGCTGGACTCATCAGTGTGACAAATTGGGATGGCAGACCGGTAGCCGTGAAAAGACATTTGAGTTGTCAGACATGTTTCAGACAGTAGCATGGCATGCCTATATCATATTCAGCCTTTCAACTCACAATCATTTTTGGGTGCTTGATTCTTTTTTCATTCCCTCCAGGGTCTTGTTCACTGGTGCGGATTGGGCAGGTGGCAGTGCACGGAGAGGAGCTGGCCATTTACCATCCAATAAAAATAGCTGCGGTCTCCATGATGTCACCACTGAGTAAATCACAGATCCTCAGTGTGAATAAGGGGATAAAAGGATACAGTTTAAAAAGATAAGCCTTTTTTTTTTTGGGAAGTTTGTTTTTTCACTTCCATTGTTAAGTCTAAAATGTTTGATTTTTCTTGGTTGTTATCCAAATTTAGATCAGTTTATTCCTATCTCTTTACAAATGTTTAATATTTTGTTTGCACGTGTAAAGGTTGGCTTACCTGCAACCTTGAACATGCAAAAGAAGAAGGATTCAAAGTCCTTCCCATTCACTCACAGTGAGACTGCCATTTTCAGCTGCTCACTGCCGCTGTAGCTGCCAGAAGGGGTGAACAAACTAAAGCCGGAGTCTGATCTCACTTCCATACCTGGCATTCTGGAGCCACAACACCATGTTGCTGATGAGGAACCCGATCAGTCGTAAATCTTTACTGTTTGACCATGTGACATGCCAAATTTGTGATTCTGCCCTCAGTCCACATTCTGTATCTAGTTTCTTTCACCTTTTGCTACCTATGGCGTTCCTCTAACTGTTTAGTCCTTTAACACAGAGGCAATCCTGCATCCTCTGATCAGTCCTTGTGACTTGGGCTCCCACATTTTTGACGTATGTTTCCTTTATGTCTGCTTTGGGCCATATTTAAACCATAAACTGTGATTGCATGTGCCTAGCTTCAATGAAGCAGGATGTCAGCCATGACAGTGATAGGAATTTAGCACCTGACATCCCTGCCAAGAATGCAGCCTTTTTAGATTACCTTCTTTTCAGGTAAACCGTTAAAGAAAGGTGAGGCACCTTGAGTCATTGATGAATCATCATACATATACAGATTGACTCAAAATACAAAAGGGAAAGAAAAGCAAAAACCCTTTCTCAGATTCATGGCTTGTTAACATGAAGGAAATCAACCCAATAAACACCAATAATCCTCATTTTATTGGATTTCGTGAAGGTTTTATCAACATGTACATAGTTTTCATTTTGTATTATTTAACATTTTTCATCAAAAGAAGTGCATTAGGTAAATATTTAGGAAGTTAACTCTAATAGTTAAAATTCATTTGATTATTATGATAACAAAATACTGAAAGAATACACCTAAACCAGTGCAGGAAAATTCAAATAGAATATACAAATATCAGGAACACAAATAAAACATCTTTTTGCATGAACACATTTTATGTTATTATTATAGTAATAGAAATTCAAGATAGTTGCAAAAATAAACAAACTTGAGACATTTTCTAAACATACTCTGACAGGTACGTTAAAAAGCTCCAGCCATCCCTCTTCTCCAACTTAATCCTTCAGGGTCATGTGGCTGGTGCCTGTCTCCAGTAGTCTATAGACGACAGGCGGGGTAGACCCTGGACAGGTCACCAGCCAAATCCAGAGCAACACAGAAAAGACATGCAACTACACACAAACACAAGGACAATTTATGGATGAAATTTAACCTAACAGTCATGGACTGTTGGAGGAAGCCAGAGTACCAGGAGAGAACCCACGCATGGATGAGGAGTCTACTCTAACCACATACAGAGAGATCCTGGGCCAGGAATCAACTTAGGACCTTTGATCTGCAAGACAACAGTGCTACAAACTGCACCACCATGCAGCCAAAGCTCCAACTGTTTATTCATTTGTTCATCATCCTTTAGAAAACCTTAAACTTGTGGTACGCCTCAACAGCTCAGCTAAGCAGTAACAATAAACTTTGAACCTTATAGGCCTAGCCATATTAAGTCTGTGGTAATCAAGGTAGCTAAAAGCAAAGGCTTGTTTTTAGTTTGCCACAAGTCATTAAGAAGACAACCAAGATGTGGATTCTGGTATTTTGGTCAGATGAGATTAAATGTAACCTTTAGGATAAAACTCCATAAAAATTTGGACCTACTGCACATTACCCAGATCCTGCCAACTACACAGTAGCACATTTTGGAGGTAGCATAATGCTGTTATTCAGCAGGAATATTGGGGCTGATGGTTAGATGAAGTAAAGTTAAGATAAATACACACTTGATCATCTCTTAAAACTCCAAAAGACTGGAGATGAGGTAAGAGGTTCACCTATTAGCTGAACAAAGAGTCTAAACATTCAGTCTACAAAGAACTGCTTCAGGTCAAAGCATATTCTTGTGTTAGAATTGTTCATATGTCCAGAACAAAGTACCACCAAGAATTTATGAATATTCTTTAAAAACGAAGAAGAAAAAGCTCAGTTTCTGTATGTGCAAAGTTGGTGAAGTCTTATCTAAAAAGTAAACAAACTTGCAGCCATAATCTCAGCTAAAAGTTGTTTTTGTCACAGTCTTGGTTTGTTAGTTCCTGTCTTCCAGGTTTTCCATTTGTTGTCCTCTGCTGCCCTCTTGTGTCCTCTTTCCCTAGCTCTGTTTTCTGCTCTGTCCTAACCTGTTTTCAATCCTCTCGTTAGCCCTCTCTTTGTCTCTGTCCCCTTTAAAAGCCCTCCCTCTTCAGTTCCTGTTTGCTGGATCCCCATCTAACGTTTGTCTGCTTACCTCGTCTCTCCCTGGCTCCTAGGGTTTGGTTTTCTCCTGATGTCTCCTTGGTTCTGGTTCGTTTGTTATTTCTG